CCTCCCTCTCATCTTCCTCCCTCTCCCTCCTCCGAAAGCGAGGAGAACGACGACGATCTAACTCTCTCTCAGCTCTCTCCCTCCTGCCCTTCCTCCTCCTCTCCGACCTCGCCATGAGTTTCATCACGGAGCGGGCTCTTGACGAACAACTGTTGCAGCCACGTGGCCATATCTCGGAAATTCGGCAAGTTCGTYATCCACGGCTCAATACGGATCTTCGGCGATTGGCGCAGTTCTTCTGCGACGTGGGTGTGTGTGCCGCCGCCGCATTTCAAATCGAAKGGAGTCCACTCGCAGTGGTATTGGCGGAGGTAATCGCAGTTCATCAGCGAGCGGCTCCCGGAACGAGCCACGTCACCACGGTTGCGGCGTTCAACGGCGATATCAGCTCGGGTCAACCCATGATGGCATACCGCGATCTTGGCTTCGCTGTGAGAGTGGATGGAGCATGTCTCCAACGTGTGGCAGCACGGTCTTGCCCGACCAGGACACAATCTCTTCCCGACCTTTGCACCGGATCTTGGCAACATCCGCCGTTCTCCACGCGAGCCGCCAATTGCGATCCCCACCCTCGTCCCCTTCCCACGTCCCCAATGAACCACGCCGATCCCCTCGCTCCTCTCTCCATCTTCGGTCTTCCCTCTCTTTTTCCCAMCTTYTGGCAATCCGATCTTCATCCTTCTCTTTCCTTCTCGTTCGAACCTCTYTCTGTCCCGCTTATTAACCCTRCGAATTGGCGACTGTGGCGCGRAACTTTTGACGAGCTGTCTTTCTGCTTGGCCAGAGTACAGGTGACGTGGACGGAAACCAGCGAGCATCCAGCGTGGATCGAAAATTTGAAGTTGCTGATCATCCTAGCTTGGAGGACTAACGTCGAAGGCGATCTTCTCGGCTTTCTCTTTGGATCGGTACGGCCGGGCCGCCGCCAGTTGATTGCGCAGGAGCTCATCGCGCCGATCGTGCAATTGGCGGACGACCTCTCGCCCGACATCTATTCGCAAAGCGACGACAACCCTGCTCCGTACATTCTCGAGCGATCATTGGATCCGTACCTTCAGTGGACTGCGTGCTTAGAGGAGCCCAGAGACGAARATACTCTACCATCACGGCAGGAGTATCTRAAGCCGTACGACATCATCCCTCACGCCTTCTATCCGAAGGCGGAGGAAGTGGTGATTGACGACGACGACGAAGAAGACGATGACGAGAAAACGTCGGAGGAGGGAAGCTATAGCRAGTATAGCGAGGGCGAGCTGAGTGAAGGAGAAGAAGAGGAGGGAGAAAAAACCGGATCTGAGTGGGAAGCCTTGCCGGAGGAAGCGGYGCGCATGGGCACGGAGGCGGAAGATCCGGAGGCAGCGTGAAGGCGCGAAGAAATTGCCACCGGGAAACGCCACCTGGAGTTCGCCAGTGGAGCCAGCTTGCGCATCCGTAACGATCCGACCAGGGATCTGGAGCCGCYGAAGCCCGAAGATGGCGACCCATCAGCCGMCACCTCAAGCACCGCGCGACCRAGACGGAGCCGATCCCCCTCCTCCTCCAGCCCCMCCYGTCCCCCAGTTCGCCCACGTACCGATGCGGGCGATAGGCCTTCGTCCTCGAACGTTAACCCGCCGTCCCCTTGATTTTCTGACCCTCGARTAGATCCGCACCCCCGTCACTTCCCCCCCCCATCCCTTCCTTCCCTACATCTTCCGCGACTTCTACTCGACCCGCCTGCTCGCAACCGTCTACCCCCACCCATCCCTTCAGCCCGCTGCCCCCACCTTCTGCTGGCATATCCTGTTGTTCAGCGCTGCATGGGAGCAGTGCAACATGGTAGAAGTCTACTGCGTAGCTACGGGGACAATCCCCATCTGTCGCCACTACGAATTCTTTCGAGCARCGCTCCTCCGCACCCTCTTCTCCTTCTATCGCGACTACCTCGCCTCCCTCCCTCATAGCGGCGATCGCTTACCTCGCTTCCACCGGATTATCCGATATGAGGAGCTTCCGGTGACGGCGGAAGCGATGAATCGCTACCTACCCCCTCTTCCTCCCCAACGTCCTCGTGGGATCCCCTCCATGTACCGCCTCTACTGGCCCATTCCAACTAGACAGTAGCTCCCGATCACGTGACTATCCCCCCCCCCCCCCCATCTAGATGTGTATAAGAGACAGGACTAGTGCCAGCCATAGCTCTGTCCCCATCGTCCGGCGTACCTCCTACCTTCGTCTTCTTCCTCCCTCTCATCTTCCTCCCTCTCCCTCCTCCGAAAGCGAGGAGAACGACGACGATCTAACTCTCTCTCAGCTCTCTCCCTCCTGCCCTTCCTC